ATACCTTTTTGGCCGAACGATTGAGAACACTTAAAGATAACAAAGAACTTACCACTGACCTTAAAAAAACCCAAAAAAGAATACGATTGAGAACGAATTTACGTGCAACGTTGCCATATCATTTATTATTTATTATTTAACAAATATTCTAGAAAAATGTCTTATGTAATATAAATATGTTTAAAATTTTTAAAAAAATGTAGTATTATAAAAATATGTAATAAATATGTAAAAAAAAAGTAAAAAATATTATACCTATGCATAAAAAATGTAATGAAGTTAGGTACCTATGTATTAGTTATAGCGGGATAGCGTAATCCAACATAACCTAACCTTACGTTTATGCGAGGACTAGTGCGACGAAGTCATTCTCTCGTATATCTAGTATCTAAGTTATAAATAAGATCCGATAAATGTCCGATAAATATTAAATATCAACCGCATCAATCGTTCAGCCCAAAAGGTATAACGTTCTTTATCGTTCGATAGCCAATTATCGTGCTCAAATTATCTTTCGATAACATTTGGCAACGTTGGAAAAAAAAAGACATATCGAGCGTTCTCAATCGTATTTTACCGCCATTTTGAAATAAAACATTTTCTAGGGCCTTCCAAATTTTTTTAACATTACCATTATGAAAGAAGAGACTGAGTTATAACACTAGTTGTCACAGTTTTTAGTTTTTTACTATTTCTTATTTTTTACATGAATTGTTTTTTTTCAAGTGATGTAGGATGCTTGTATTATAATTAAGAATACCATATCTTGAAAATGTACTAAAAAAATTTAACACTAATAGTAATTTAAAAAAACAGTAATTCGGTACAACCCAGGAAATGACTTCCTAGGTTAATCAAATGACAAGACACATCAAATTTAAGCTTTCAGTTGTGAATTGTCAATGTTAAATGTGTGTTAAATTTATAATTAATCGATGCAAATGAATTAAAACCGTAAATAAATAACAACACGTTGTAATACATTAAAAAGTATGTATCTTGATCCTTTTAATCACATGTGATAACAATCCTCACGTCATTTGTGACAACAAACCCTAATCTACTATTTGATAACAAATTAACTTTATGAGTTGTATATCACTTTTCAATAAACAGACGAAAATAACACACGGAAATATAGGATAATACAATTAATAGATACCTATTTGTTAAACTAACAAGTATAACATATAGCTATAATGTATAAATATAAATGTATTAAATATACAGTCAAATATTGAATGTATTTAAAGAAAAAAAATTCTCACAAACTTAAAGTTTACTCTTTTAGTCTTAAGATGGCGAAGGGACATATTTTATCTTTCCAAATTGAGCCTTAAAATGTATGTACCTATATCTATGCGTTGATAAAAACATTTTCGAAAATGTTAATTTTTTTCGAATTTAGAAGTTGTCTGCGGCCGTGCATTTTATAAATAGTAGTTATTGCAATTATTTAATTTAATGCCATCATATCATTCAGAGGTTCAAACATACATTCAAAAATAAATGAGACTTTTTAATTAAAGCTATATTTGATTTCAAACTTAATCGTATATAAATGTTGGATATTACAGTATTATCGTACCTTCAAAATTTATTTTCGCCTGTAGAGGACTACTTGATGCAACTGCTGCGTGTAAGAGATGTGGATATTTTACTCTAAACCAGGTAACTAAAGTTCCTGAATACGATGAACCAAATCCTACCCATTTAGCACGATCCAGTAGTATTTTGTTTTCAATCATCATGGTACTTATAAATGTTCCCATATCAGCTAATGCTTGTTCAACGGTCAGATACGATAAATTTGTAGTGTTTAAATTACTAAAACATACGATTATCATCAAATATAAATTAACATGTTACTACTGATCCTAATTATTGTCTTATCTCTCATTATTGCACTCACTCAGTGGGATGGCTCATTCCATAATACCGGTGTTCCAATTGAAAACATGCGGCATTAAACATTTGAGCGTATTCAATCCATGCTCCGGAAAGCATCCAACCCTCAGAAATTTCTTTTCTTCCTCCTACCAACAAAAATACAGGGCCATCCTTCTTATAATACTTCATATTCACATGATACCTCTAAAAAAAATCATATTTTGCTGTTAATAGTTGCATTAATGAGTAATTTCAACACTTTATTGCTTATTAGTTACTATATAGTATATAGATATAATATGTAATTAAACAAACTAATGCGTAGAAATACCTGCATCCACGTTCTATTATCAGTATTGTTAAAATGATCCAGATCCTGTACAAACCATCGAGTTTCGACGATGTTCTTGAAATCGGTAGTTTGAAAAAATGATAATGACGATGTTAAATTGTTGTTGAAATCAATATTTTGAGCTGACGAACTCAAAAAGAGGCAACACCAAAATACGCAAAATATTAAGTTCATTTTTCAAATTAAATTTGCTAATCTGAAAAAAGTTCAGCCCTTAAGTCAAAGTTATATTTGATCAGTGGTAGACACTAAGTTTCTTAAACAATAGTAAGACAGTTTGTATTTTAATCTGGAAACAGCATAGTTGGCTAACAGAAATTACTATCGTTAAAATGTTTTGATAAATTATATTATACCTACAACCAACATGTATGTGGTATGTCTAATTTTTATATCTAAATAATGTTTATCCAATTTAATAAAATACATTTGTAAAATTATACTTATAAAGTTACTTGTATTACACCAATCACTCTCGATACATATTATAATTAAATCAATATATTACACATCTGCCAATGAACGCTTTTTATTGAAACTAAAGTACATCAAGAATTATTCAAAAAAAATACTTAAGCTCAAAACTAATTGCTATGTTTTTATTGTTATTGAATGTCGAAAGACACATTCAGCATTCTTAAGTCTGATGAGTATTGATTCTTATCCAAAATTAAATACGTTAGGAAGTAAAAGTTGAGTTATAATTTATATGTTATTATTTTAAAATTTAAAATAGTCGAATGATTTTCTAAAATCTGTTTGATATGTAGGTATACACAGAAAATAAAACAATATAAAATATAAAATTATTTTCAAATATTTGTAAGCGAATCAAAAGATTTTTTTCTATGTTAGAGTCTTTTTTAAAATGTTCTGGTAGGCCAAAGGTGGCCTAACCACCCTGCCTATTACTTCGTAAATTATATATATGCAAACGTAATAAAAGAAAAAAATGCTATTAAAACAAAATATACTCACTATTTATATTAATACGAATTCGGGGTATCAATTTGTTAACTGGTTTGCACAACCTACTAAAATGACTTAAAATTTAAATCCAACTACTCGACTATTTATACTATGCTTTTTTACCTGTGTTTTAAAGCATTTTATCGAGGCTAAAGAGGTACTCAATACTTGCATAATTATTGCAACTACACGTGTTGTAAAATATTTATTAACTCTGTGAAAATACACTAAAATAGTAGTAAAATTAACCATTTTATTGAACCTATATGACACGTTTTTTTTTTATCGTTATGGAACTTTGATGACTTCATTATAAATTATAACTATTTATTATTTTAATGAATAAAGTGAACAATTCCCAGGTAGTTTTTAACTGTCAGTGCACTTTCGTGAAAAATGTTATTGGATGTGTAATATGTATACCACATACCGATTTTTGTCATTTTTCTTATTACCTACACATAATATTTTACTATTTTAGTTTTATTTAGCTTCAACATTTAATAATCATAATATACAGATAATATATTATATTCACACTATTTGTTACAAGTTATCGGATAACACGATGTTATTATCTTAACCTAAGATTATAAGTTCTTAGTATTATGTCTTAATATTTTGTCAATACATTATTGTTTAGGAATATATTCGTCGAAAAAAAATATTAGTATTTTATACTGTTGCATTAAAAAAAAATTAAACTTTTTATTTATTTATAATTGACACGTTAGCCATAAACTTTATAATTTGGTATTATCCATAACGAATTTAATATTTTGTGGCGTATATTAGGTATATTCAAAATAGGCCCTGGAACTTTATGACTGTGTTATCTTTAGTACATAGACATTTAAGTTTAATAACTAAGAAGCTATTAATTCAAATGTCGATCTAAATGGATGATGCGTCAACATTTTCAAAAAAATTCTTTTATTAATTTACCTTTAATAAAACCTTTTTAGTTTTCTTCTTACAAATCCTAGAAAATGACACGTTGTAGATGGCACTGTCGGAAATAGTAGGTATATTATGCAATGAGTAATTAATAAATTAACCTTAATAAATGACTGCACACCACACCTACGTTTTATATTGCCGAGGAATCACACGAATACTTAATTATAGTATAAGGATTAAAGGGTCAAGAAGTTGTGTTTTTCCGTCTTTGTCTAACACAAGTGGAACATAAGAATATAGATGTGTTTTCATTCTACCCTATCGATTGATTTAAGGAATCGATAATAATTCTAAAAACAGATTTGAATATTTCGTCAAGTATACTGGGGATGACTATCCAACATTTTTGATTTTATCTCCCCAATTGAAAAAAGTCTTACTAAAAAGGAGTAATGAAGAAAATAGAATAATTAATTGTCGGAGAAGTTATAATCAAAAAATCAAAAATGTAGGAAAGTCGATCTCAAGTAGACTCGACAAAAAATTCAAATTGTTTTTTAGAATTCTTATCGGTGCGTTGAAATGAGAACGTGTCTAAATTTCTATGTTCCGAGTGTGAAGTTAGATAAAGACAGAAAATCACTCTTAATACCTAACTTCAGCTGTTTTCTTAAAAAATTGTACTCCATGTATTTGCCACGACCTTGCAAACGAGTGTGACATGGTCATTTGGTGTTATCGATTTTACATTTTCTGGTTCTGTAAATATTATACTTTATACTAAGCAGACATTTAGCCGATTTAGGTTCAGTATTCCAGCATTTTCTGCCGGTACCGAACTTCATGATGTATTGGACACTATGTATTACGGAGTATATTTTGTTATTTTATGAAATCGGTTTTGAATTAGAACGTACATTATTACCTAATTTACATCATATTAATTAAGTGCTGATGAATTATATAGAGTAGGCTTAAATTCCACTCACGAGTACCTAATCGTTATAATATGTAAATATAAGATACACATCTTTATGGTTATTGAAATATGCGATAGCCAATATGCAATCAAAGAAAAATAAAACAAAATAAATCACCTAGAAAAATGTTGATTGATAATCAAAATGATTTTTGGTAAAATTTTCATAAAAACATTGATAACGTTTTGTATCTGATAAACCATAGAGTAATACTAGGCTGCACTTTATGGCATTTCATGTTTATTTCATCTATATTTCTTCAAACAATAATAATTCGTGTATATCATCAAATTTCACAGGTCATTCATATAAATATTTATATAAATACATACAATAATCTCTTGTTGAAGAAATGCATGTACCGATATATTATATATTTATTTTTTAAAGATTATACGCATAACTCAATTTATCTATTTATACAAAACTAAACAAAATTTTATTGTACATTCAATTTTTTTATTCCACAGAAATTTCAAACAGTATAGGTACATAGACGCTAATTAATATCTATAATTAGTTATCTAACAAAAAACGAATATAATATAAAACAAAACAAAAGGACCGAGGACAGATGGCATAGTTTCATGTACGTAAGGTTGGCAGTTACGTATGCAGTTGGTCCAAGGTAGGAGATTGCAGGCGCATGCATATTTGGCTGGCAACGACCATGACTGCTGCAGACGACGCCCGACAGGCGACAGCAATGGGCCGCGGGAGTGACGGACGCCGGGCGGCTCGCACAGCGGCACAGACACACAGTGTGTCGTCTCCAAAAATATCAGATAGTTAAATGCAGTGGAACCTGGTCAGCAGATCTGACCTGAAGGATTCCGAGGCGAAAAGCTAGCAATCCAAGGCACAGACCACGCCGATACGTTTTTGACTCGTCGGCATCCGGTTACCACCAGAGTGCGGCCAATTACTGCACGATGCCCTAGGATACGTCGTAATGCACAGGAGCCAATCGAGTTTTACATTTTTGGGGGTGGGTGCTGTGCAACTTAATGAGGTAATGATGCCACGGCACCCCATTTACTCACAATCACGTAAATGGATGCTTATTTTTTTTGGAGGGGGGGGGGGCGATCAGTGGCAAAGCCAGGGGGTTTTAGGAGTTCGCCCCCCTACTTTTCCTAAAAAAAAGGATATTGACAACTATAGCCAACATTATTAGTAATATGAAAATAGTATCATTTTATAGTCATTATTATAAGTAGGTACTTGGTTTAATTATAATTGTGAAGCCTTATATTTAATTTAGTAAAGGCCATATAAAAAAAAAATATTGTTACATGGTTACAGGTATATGATATTAAAAAAAATATATGTACAATTTTTGTATTTAAAAATTAATAATATTTATAATATTAGGTCAGTATTTCTTTTTTTTTATAGAAGCAAAGCGTTTAATTATGTCATCAACTGGTACCTATATCTATTTCGCGATTGATATGTAGCAGAGCCAAACCGCATAGGAGATCTTGTCCCATCTTAGAACGCAACCAAGTTTTTAATCTATTACCTAACAAAAATGATAATACCATAGAGTAATAATGTAATACTATGGATAAAACGAATTCACCGGGCACGACGCGCGACATTCGGGTATTGAATATAAAAACGGTTTTTATCGTAATTACGGAATCGGTTACAGTATTTTGAATGGAGTGACCAATGACCATAGATAAGAGATCGATATGAGAGTGACGCACGCAAGAACAATAATAATTTAGTATAATAATATTATCTGTAATCTATTGATGCACAGCACTTCGGACTACGGTAAGTGGAGAAATATGCAAGATTTTCAAGGAAGAATTTGGAGTGTATCGATACGTATCGAGGCGATTTTGAGCGTTCAAGAAGTTACACGACGTGTAGTATACAAGCGATACGTACCGACCCGTATCGGACACGGACTTCGATACAAGGTGGTACGTATCGATACGTATCGAATTTTTCTTCTTGAAAATCTTGATGGTCAGCGGCGGCCGGAGGTTTAAACGTTCGTGTGGCATGTTTACGAACTAAAATTTACTTACCTAATTTTATTCACGCCGTTTTCTGTTTATTATATACCTACTATACTATTGTCTATTAATTTTAATTAGTATATTACTATTATAGTAATACTATAATACTATAATACTATTATATAATTTAATTTAGATGTTATATTTAATATATTTTTTTTTTGTTAATTATTAATTACTGGTATATATACCATATATATGTATATGTATACCGGTATATATTACGGCCTTTGGGGGTGGGGCGATCGCTCCTACCGCCCCCCCCCTAAATTACGTGCCTGTTTACTCAAATCGTATTCCAAAAAATAGACGGCCGCGGCGACGATGCACATTTACTCGCGGTCTTTCCCGTAGGTATACCTCGTTCCTCTCCCCGAGCTCGTGTCTGTGGAATGTTGTGTCGCCCGGCGGAGAGGAAAGCTGCGGCGAAGCTATAGTAATCGTGCATTTCATGCGTGTGGTCATAGGTATTATTTATTTATCTGTGGGACCGGAGGCAAAAAAACAAAGTAAAACATAATATACATGTACATACTAAATTTCCAATCACTTGCAATGTGTCCCGATGTGTATGTGTATATAACGATTATATAATATTACGACGACCACGGACGACTTATACTCTCTGTCATCTCTTAATTTTCGATCGAGTACAATTATTCAGTTCAGGATGTCGCGTTGAGCCAAAGCATCTAACCTAGCTCTACTCTACAAAATACAAATTAATTTCGAAACTTTACACATTTTAACGTTGATAATAGTTATATTACCGTACCTACCGAAAATCCTCGTAAAAATAGATACGGAAAGACAAACGTCGTCTAGGCTCTCCGATCGCGCACGCATAATATAATATATACACTTTAGTCTGAAGCTAATTATAATAATCTGCGAAGACAAAAATACTTAAAATAACTTCAAAACGTTCTAACTTTGAAACTATAAGTCCAACCCACAAATTTTGATTACATCATCGTTCTTAACCTGATAAAATACTACAGAGGTTTCTGAAAAAATTTCCTTGAAATGTTGTGCGGTATTTAAATGTATTTGTGCTATAGTGATTAGTGTTTATTACGAAGTAATATTATCTAAGTTATATACAGCTATCATAGGAAACTCGGGGGTTTTATGTATTATTTCTTACATATTCTATATAGTGTCTAATACCTATAGGCTATAAGTTATAATAATTATACTTAAATATGATTTGACAATTTTTAAAAAAAAGTCGTGGTTGATACGACACCCGAATTCCCTCCCCCCCTTAATTATGCCA